AGGCATAAATCCCTCTCAAAAGATCTTCTTTGAGCCCAATAGAATCAAATGTTGGCACTCTGTAATTTAAATTAATTCGAAAAAAAATATCCTCAGCTCCAACCACACCTACACCGATTTCTCGCTACGATCGATCAAAGGTTACAAAGACTCGAGCAAAATGTTTTGGCATTGAATGCAAATTGAAACGAAATGGGATTCTTAAGTCCGGAGTAGAGTTTGTGAGTTCACTCGTTTATGGTTTCTATATTCTAATATCGACATTTCCATAATCAGGACAAGCGTCTATGCAAAGCGACAGATCCGAATACTCCGCAGAAACTGAAACTTTTTTTGGGTTGAATTTTCAAACCTATTTAATGAAATAAGAAAAAAATGTGGTCGAAAATGTATAATGCCTTATCTGGAGAAGTTGGTCTCAGTCCAGCTGAAGAGAGCCTGCAAATCTTCATTATTTTGGATATCAAGTGCGTGTTAGAGCTTTCCCCACCGATTCTTAAGGTGCTGTCGTACCTCTTTTCTTTTAATCGGTTCCTCAAAACCTAAAAACCGTCCAAAATTTATCCATTGATTTCTCACTGCAGTATTATCGGACACGTTAATAATATCGGTTTCAAGCAAAGCCAAAAAATCTGAGGACGTTTTCGCATCTAATTCGAGAGATACGGTGGCATGCAAAAATAACGCACCGCTTGCATTATCGATCTTTAATCACGCAATTCTCAATCACAAAAGATCCGACAAACATGCAAGTGCTGGAATAAAAAAAATTAGTCGCGCTAAACAAATTGTGGCTTGAATTGAGGAAGCTGAAACTACCCAAGATTATCAAACTCTTTTTGAAAGATGGAATGGAGGAAAAATCTTCAATAAAGAAATAAGCAATGGCTAACATCAGTTTATCAATTGTTAAAAAATGACCTGATATTATTATGCCCAATAATCATTAATCCACATAAACAATAGTGCATTTTTTTGCCATTTTTTAAATAAAACAACAAATTAATAAAAATTTTTACAAATATCATTTTTATCATTTCATATAACCATCCCATGCTTTAACTACATCATTAATTTGTTGTGGCATTATATTAATCAAATTAATACAATAATTAATTTCAATATTATTTATTCTATATCTTCTCTATCTTTTTTCATAAATCATTCTTATTGATAATTATATCTGGAAGTTTACAAAGATGAAAATTTACTTCCTGCTAGTAATAGGATTTAATCAGATAATTGTAATGACCAGCTTAATATAATCATATAATTATTAGCAAATTACTTCATTATTTTATTTGTGACATGTTTAGAATTATTATCCTGTTGAAAAATAATATTATTTAGCTTTAAATTATATAAATTTAAAGAGAAAAATAATTCATTTGAAAGAATTTTCTGATAATATTTGCCATTTATTATTTTAATAATTTTACAAAGATAATTAATATACTAAATATCAAAATATTCTCATAACATTATATTATCATTATTATAGATTGAATATATAAGTTTTTTAATAAATTACTAATATTTATCAGATTTAAATATCTAAAATTTTAATTTATTAAATTATATAATTTTATATCAATTATCAAATTTTTAGTTTTTTATATTTATTTATAAAGTTAAGTTATTTTTAATAATATATATCTAATAAATATAATTTATTTATTATGTATAATAAATTTTTGAAGATGATCAGTTTGAGACTTATTTTAAATACTATTAATTTTCTTTTAAGTCTTAATATAATAAAATAATAAATATTAAAATAATAAATAATCTTATAAGTATTATAAATTTTTATCAAGTAATATAATTACTTAAGCATATTTTTTTAATGTAAGTTATATTATTTTTTAGAAAGTTTAAAAAAATATATAAATTATATAAAATAAGTATTAAAAATTTTTTATTTTTATAATAAAAAATTTTTTTCTATTCATATTAAAAAATAAAAAAAAATATATAGTAATGACCAAAAGTAATGACTTAGGGACTAAATTTACTAATAAAATACAGTGAAAATTGAAATTTTCTCTCTATATAAAAATTTATGATTTTAATAAGAAATAATTTTTATTTTTATATTAAAAT